AATATATTCCATCCATTTCACTCAGTTTAAAATAATTTGTTCTCTTGAATTTTTTAGTTTTAGCATTTTTATGGAAGTTTTAGACAATTTGTAAATTATCTCTATCAAATACACTGCATGAATATATATAGTCTTGGGTGAAAATTTAGTATTTCTATTAAAACATGCAATGATAAATAAAAGTCTTGAATTCAACTCGTTTTAGACAAAAAAAAAAAAAAAGACAATTGCTACAAATTTACACAACTCATCCCGATTTGTACAACTCCATTAGGTAAATAGTCAAAATGTCACTAAAAACGGAGAAGTGTATCGTAATAGTTCTCCATTTTTTATTCTTTTCGATTAAAATAATTTCGGATCGGAATATTTATTTATCTCTAAAATATATTTATTGTAAACACAAAGTTAGATATTTATTGTAAACTATTGTAAACACAAAGTTAGATTGGTTCATTTTACCCAACCTTAAAAGGTATTTTTGTCAATAACCAGAAAGCCATATTTATTACTTCTTCCGTTCTTTCGAAAATGATAATTTGAATTTTATTTTTGTTTTTAAAAAATTGATGTTTTAGTTCTGAATAATATATATTTTTTATAAGATTAATTTTCTTGGTTCTAATATAATTTAATTGTCATGAAAAACGAAAAAGTATGTTAAAAGTTGTTTGATTTACTTTTTTTTTTCAATATATGTGCAACATCCAAAATATCAATTCTTTGTGAAACCGAGAGAAGTACTATGTAACCAAATAGCTGAACCAAGGTTTTAAGGAGAAACAAATTACACAGAATAAAAGTGAAATCTAGGAAAGGATTCATGAATAAGTGTAAGAGTAGGAAACAAACATTTAATAACATATTTAAACCTTTTGATTAAAAAGAGAATTAAAAAGATTGGAGAAAGGAAGTGAAGCCGAGAAGTCTCTCTCACCATTATAACAATGTCTGACTTCTTTTGGGTTTCTGTGAGAGATAGAGAGAGAAACTGATTCAAAGGACACATTACTTGAAAATGACCACTCATCCCTAATAATCCCCAATTTTTATTTGCATCTTTTCTCTATATATACTAAATTTATATTTCCGATATATTTTTTTTTTTATCATAATTTAACCAAGTGTTGGGATATTATTGTTTTTTTTTTATATAACGGTCTCATGGCTTGTAGGCATTATTATGATTTATATAGAGAGAGGAGATCTAGCGGTTGATATTCATTTAAACTTTTGTTGAGATCATAAAATAACTGTGAGATTTTTTTTTTTTCTTACTCCATTAGGGAAACATCAGTACCAATCTACTTATTCTCTTTCTCGTCTCACCATTAATAATACTGTAAGAAAATAAATATCACTGCTTTTTGTTTATTATCTCTGTCGGTAAAATATCTACAAAATGGACAAAAACCACACATATCATTTTTGCTTTCCATGATTACTGATATACTAGAACTTTGAGAATAGTAGTTTAATAAACTAGGAAAATTCGTATTTTGTTTATAATCTATATCTTCTTAATTCGTAAATATCTCTACACAATTATTCAATAATATGTACTAGTTTTAAAGTACAGTATTTGTTTTTAAAAATGTATTATTTCGTAACTTTCTTTAACATTTTATTAAAACCGTTAAACACTACTTCCACCAGAACTTCTTTTTACAGCCTGATTCCTGATTGATGAGTTGATTTTAGACTAATCTTAGAATGTTCAATTTATAGGATTTTTATGGTTAGAAAGTGAACTTAAAAGTTTTTTAGGATTCGATTTTTGTTGAGTCCAATGCAGCAAAAGAAAAATCCATCTACCAATTATTTTCCTATAATTTGTAATAACTAAATAAGAAGTATATATTGAATAACTAACTATGTTGTGTTGAAAAAATATGATTTCGCACTTGGTTATATTATTGGGTGAGAAGAATCAAAGAAAATAAATATAAAATTGAAAGAAGGTTGTTATATACTATATTAGTTGAATATTGATATAAAAGAGGAATAACAAAACAAGTTAGGACTGAACATATAGGTAGATAGGTGCAGGTAACATATAAAGCAGTAATGTTTTTTATAAAAACAAATCTTAATAAATGTATTGAGAAGAAACAACAAAAGACAACTCATTGACAAATCTCTTCTCAACCTTTTTTTAGTCAGAACATCTCAAATCACACATTTATCCAATTTCCCATATAACCAACAATTATATATAAAAAAATGATCTTACTCGATCGAGGGAAAGGAAAAATAATTCCATTAATTTTCATCTTGGCCTAATTAACAAGAGGTTATAAAGAGAAATAAACAAAAGAAAAGCCGATAATTAATTTAATGACCAAGAGCTTTAAAGGTTCATTTTTTTCTTTCCTTTTTTCAGAATTTGTTTTAAAAAAGGGTTTAGAGAATAATAAAAGTTTTAAGAAGGTCTCATGATCGGAGGTTGGAAACCATTTGTCTGCAGCCAATTTTGATGAGAAGTAGAATTATAAATC